AGAAGAGCCTAAATGACCTTTTGTATAGCGGACCAGTACTACTGAACGAATTTGTGGAATCTTACTTCGTTTTCGTTTGATGAATATCGCGATATTATGTGACATTGAGAAAGCTTATCATCATGTGGCGCTAAACGAAACCGGTCGCGATGTAACAAAGTTTTCGTGAGTGCGAAGCTGCGAGCACCGGTTGAAAGAGTGAATTTGGTTGTATTTAGGTTTCGAAGGGTACATTTTGAAGTAATTTCATCCCCATTTTTGTTAGCAGCAGTAATCAAATAACATTTGCAGAGCACGATGTCAGATGCCGCTAGAAAGGTAGAGAAAAATCTTTATGTGGACAACGCCATTGCCGAAGCAAAAAATGATGCAGAAGCAATCCAGTTTTACAAAGAGGTGAAGCAGATTTTCCGCGAAGCAAAAATGAATGTGCGCGAATTTATCCCCAGTTTCAGAGAATTCAGTGCGTGTTTTCCTTCGTCAGAAAAGAAAGATGGAGAAATAGCGGAAATGTTAGGAATATGATGGAACACGAAAACTGACTAAGTCAATATCAAGCTTCAAGAAATCATGGGAAAAAAGACAAAGCGAGAAGCACTCCAGGTAATCGCAACCATTTTTGATTCGTTAGGTATTATTAGTTCAGCGACCTTGCCAGCGAAGATTTTTATCCAGAATTTGTGGAAAAAATTATGAATGGGATGAGAAGCTGAGGATAGAAGAAATTGAAGGATGGGCAAAAATAGCGAAGAGTTGGAATTCAATCAGTTTTGAAATTCCAAGCGGAATTGCGGGAACAAAAAGCGTTAAGCAAAATCATGTATTTACTGATGCATCAAAGGGTCCCTATGCCGCGGTAATTTATTTGAGAACAGAACAGGAGGAAAATGTTCAGTGCTCACTGATATTTTCAAAAACAAGGTTCTGCCCTATCAAAGGAACAACAGTCCCAAGAAATGAACTGCTAGCAGTATAGATAAGGGTGAGAGCAATGAATATTGTTGTGAATCAGTTATGAATGGAAAAGCTGGAAAAGTTACTCCGGAGTGATTCAATGCGCGTGTTGAACTGGATTCATGAGGAAAAGAAAGCGCAGCAAAAATTTGTTCGGAATCGCCTTGAGGAAATAAGGAAGACAGATGACGAATTCAGTTATGTTGCAACGATTGATAATTCTGCAGACACTGTGAGTAGGGCGAATGACTCCAGAAAATTTGAAAAAATGTTCGCTGTGGTAGATAGGTGCTGACATGGTTATTCAAAGACAAGGCATGGCCACCGAGAATTTTCGAAGACAAAGAGCTGTCTGGAATCGAAGACGAAAAACCGGAAGAAATGGCAAATCGACTCAGTTATCGATGAAAACAAAAAAGATACATGGATTTCTATAAGTCGATTTAGCAAGTGGGACAAGTTGGTCCGAACAATGATTCGAGTATTAAAATTTGTTCATAGTGTATCAGGGAAGATACTCCTTACTAGAGGAATTTCAATTGGGAAATCAGTCAGCGGCTCTGGCTACGTAGTAGCAACTCGATATCTTTTCAAGAAAGCACAAGAGGAAGAAATCTCCAAGAAAGAGAGGAAAAAGTGCCAACTGTTTGAAGATGAGGGTGGCGTATTAAGATGCGGAGGAAGAATAACGGAAGCAAAATTACAGGAATCAGAATTCATCCCTATTCACCTTCCAAGAAGTAAAATAACAGCTCTTATTATGATGGATGTTCATAAACGTTTAATGGATTGTGGCATAAGCCATACATTAGCTGAACTACGCCAGAAGTTCTTGGTCGAAAAAGGAAGAATGACGATGTGAAAAACTATTAATCAAAATTGCATGGAGTGCAGAAGATGGGACGACAAACCGTTTCAACTACCTCCTTATCCAGCATATCCGGGTCAGCGAGTCCAGCGGGATCCGGTATTCGAGA